TCCTCTGGCAGCTGCACAGCCCGAGCGCGGGGTCAGCGCCGGCGCCCGGCGGGGAGTCCAAACTTTCCCCGGTGGCGAGCCCGGCCTCGCCGGGGCCACCGGCCGTTCGTGCCAGCATCCCCCGGCGAGGCACCGCCGCCTCCCGGTCCAGCGTGAGATGCTGGCGAGGGATTATGTGCAGCCCGGGTAGCAGTCACCTCTCCTTGGCGCACGCTTGGCTTTCGAGAGCCAATTCGCCGTGTTCTGCTCTTCCTCGGCACGATAATGTAATTCCGTAAGGTTTTTTCTGTTGGGTTTTTTTAAGACAATGTAATTTCTAACGTACATATGTAGGTATATAATAGGCCAGATTCATCACTGGCTGATATACAACCATAAATAATTCATTCAAGTTGATAGCAGATTAAGTTTCTTGGCCCAGTATCTTTCCTTTCTTTGTGTATACTTTTAAATTGGCTTCTCCCTCTGTGCTGTTTAGCTCTAGAGATCAAATTCTTCTTTTGGTTGCACAGATGTAAAAGAATAATACCTATATCAGCATAAGTAATGGTGCTGAGTTGGGAATGGGAAGGAGGTTGGAACTATGTATTCTATGTATTAAATAGATCCAGGCTATCATTGTAAGTAATAAATGATTCCAAATAAAACTATATGGATTAGTTCTTTTGGTTGCAAGTCTTAATCAAAATCAGCTGACTTTAAATACTGTCTTAAGCCACAGTGAGTCCGCGGTCTTGTGAATCTCTGCTTTTAATTTGGCTTTGATGTGAAATTAGGTAGGTTCATTGGTTTTGCTGGTGGTACACTCACACAGCAGAGTGTGTGTCCATAAGGTCTGAAACTGCTTTTCTCAGTTCTCTGTATAACAGTGGATCATTTTAATAATACCTGTTTTACTGGGAGTAGGATTCATCTCACATAATTTTTCTCACGTTAGCTGGGTAGTCGAAAGCAGTCTTTTGGGTTTTCTCTGTGGCCATCTCCAGAGAATAATTTGTCTGGCCTTTCTCTGGATAGGCTGTCTTTCTCTCAAAGCACTGCTAATTCTTTGCTGTCAGTAGAGGAAGCCCTGGAGACTGGCATGCAATAGTTGCCTGTGGTTTAGATGACCATGAATTTAAAAGAGATTAATCCCACTTTAGCATACCATGGTGCCCTTACCAGATACCTACTGTACTGCATTTTGTGCAACATGCAGCTAGGAGTATTCCAGCCAGCTAAGCCGATGAGCAAGGCTGTTCAGATGGTGCTTGGAAGCACCACTTTCTCAATTTTTGTGTTGTAAATCTCGGTTCATCATATTAGCCTACTGTCTGCTACTTACTGCTTATGTGGTTTTGGCATGTGAACCCTGAGGCCATAGCTTGTGTGTTACCTGCTGGTTTACACCCTGTGAAAAGCCCTTTAATACAAATCTTAAAATGTTAATTCTGACCAAAGAGCGAGAAAGCCAACCAAGAGAGATCAGCCTCACTTTCATAGCATCACAGAATCGTTTGGTTGGAAGGGACCTTAAAGATCATCTTGTTCCAACCTCCCTGCCATGGGAGGCATTTCCCCTAGACCACATTCCCCTAGACCAGGTTGCTCCAAGCCCTATCTAGGCTGACCTTGAACATTTTCAGGGATGGGGCATCCACAACTTCTGTAGGCAACCTAACTCAATCCCCAGTTTTTAGCTTTCTGTCAAGGATGTTCCTTAATAATCAACCTCACTGATACTTTTAAGTTCTTCTGAGCCTGGGCACTCCCTTGTCCAACCTTGAGAAATCAAGGTTAGCATCTTTAATACACCACTGGCACCTAATTGAGCCTCAAGAGTCATCCCTTAGCTTTTAGTACCTTTGGCAGTACCTAGAACAGGTAAAATAGAAATGGTAATTTCAGTATCCAGTGTCAAGCAAATAATTTAAGCTTTCCTTCCTTTCAGTATGAATATTTTAGGAGGAGCTACCAGGCTCTTAAAAGAACTCAGTGTACTACTGCTTTACTGTTGCCTGATGCTACAAAATTAAACTGCTTTTGTCTGCGAAAATTTCTGTAAAACCCATCCCTGCTAATTAAAGATGCCCTCACAGAGCTGTCTTTCTTGAGTGAAAGGCATTAAAGATATGAATACAAATGGATTTTCTCACAATGTCAGACTGAGACTTTATTTGAAAAATTATAGCAAAAGCATTCTGAGAATTATTAAAAGTTATAATCCATGAAGGTTTGACTGTCCTTTTGCACTTACAGAAGGTAAATGCACATGTAATGCCCACATATATAGGGAGAATTATCTGAGAAAAGTATTAGGCCTAAGAGCTAAATAGCAGCCAAGCTGTCTTGCATATTAGTGATTTAGTTAACACATAATCATAGAATCATGGAGTTGGTAAGGTTGGAAGAGACTTCTAAGGTCATCAAGTCCAACCATCAACCCAGCACCACCACCACCATGTTTACTGTTAATCCATGTCTTCAGATGCCAAATGCATGTGCTTTCTGAACACTTGAAAGGATTGTGACTCCATCACTTGTCTGGGCAGTCACTGTTTTACAACCCAATTCTTTACAACCTTTTCTGTGAAGAAATGTTTCCTAATATCCAATCTAAACTTAACCCAGTGCAACTTGAAGCCATTTCCCCTTACTTTCCCCCTCACTTTTACCCTCCACTTGTTCTCTGAGAGAAGAGACTGATTCCCACTTCACTACAACCTCCGGTTAGAGAATTGTAGAGAGCAATAAGGTCTCCCCTGAGCCTCCTTTCCTCCAGGCCAAACACCCCCAGCTCCCTCAGCTGCTCCTCCTAGGACTTGTGCTCCAAGTTGTATGAGGAGCCACTTATATCTACAGCTGTCATGTGTATGTCTCAGGTATCCTAAAGTAAGCAAATGACTAATACCAGATCTCAGTTCAGCATTTTCCTCTGAAAAGATAAACTTGCATAGCCAGGTCAATCAGAAAAAATGAAAGAATAACATTTTATAATTTTAACAGGACGGACATTTCCAAAGAAGGGTCAGACGTGTGTGGTGCACTACACAGGTAAGGCATGTTCTGGATTTCTCTAGATACCAACTGCTTCACATTCAAGAGTAATTTCCATTTCAGATGTATGTTGTATTTTTTGTTTTGTTCTGTCACTCATAATCCATTGAATAATGTTTGGATGGGTTTCCTGCCTATTTCACTTCTAGCTGAGCTGTTCAGGCTACAGTAGCTAGATGTGCCTGCTGGCAGATTTGCCATGGGTAGTGTTCAATGGTGAGAGCTTTGCAGAAGAAGCTGCAGACCTGATTCATTAGGCCATTTTATTAGCTAATGAAATTGAGCGTGAAACAGTCAAAATGCTGGGGTTCATATTTTTACAGCCTCTGATCTTGACACAGACAATTAATGATTGTATATATCTTTAAAAGCCATGTCCATGTATTGGCAGTGAAATTTATTCCAGATTGAAGAGATCAATACAAGGTCTGTTTAAACACCTGCTTTATGGACTTGTGTTAATCTTAAGTGGTGAGCTGGTTAATGGAGCTGCTTATGCTGAGGAAGAAAATGTTCTTTAAATTAGTTTATGGTGTCATGCTTTGTGTGTAGTTATATGAGTTATCAAAAGGATGCAAAAATCTCTGTAGTCCAAGTCTCCAACTGGGAAATTCACTTCAAGAGCTGCCATTTTATGGGATATTTGCCTTAAGAAGCTAACATGCAGGTTATGTAGGGATTGAAGCTTCTGACCCGGGCCTAGATTGTGAGGTAATGTTTTCCTTTAGTGTTCAGGGTGATAGGAAAGTTCTCTCTGGTAACTGTTGCTTTCCTTCAGTTTTCAACTGGAACAAGATGGGAATGTTTTCCAATAAATATAAATAATTAAGTAAACCTGTTTGTATTTCCACTAAACTTAGACTTTTTACATGATTTCAATAATACCACCATTCAGAAGGTTATGTGGGAATTAGTGCACCGGCTCAGGGTGGAAGTTGTCTGGGTTTAAGCTCTCATATATACATTTATATATTCAAAGTATATAATGAGGATTTCTGGTTTGAATTAGAAGATGTTAAACACATGGATCTCCCATTCCAGTCTCAGCTCTTACAGACATTTCTCTGTAACTTAAATATGAAAATAGATGTTTTGAAATTATTTTTGTGAAGATGCTGAAAGATATGCTTCTCTTCCTGTCCAAACTTCAGAAGGTTTTATGAAATAAAATTGTCACCTCCCACCCCTAGTTAGTTCAAGATAAATTTAAATGTCAGAACTGAAATAGGCAAAAAAATTTGAGCCTGGTGGCTCCCACAGAGCACATTTTTTTCTGGATAACCTCAGAGAGTGTGAATGGTAAATGTGAAAAGATAACAAGATGCTGCATACTCCAGTTGATATTAGACAGTGTCTTAGATGAGGCTGTCGTAAGTTGTCTTTGACATAAAAGACTTTATAAAAACTCATTAAATCAATCTCTAGTATAAACTGTGCTTTCTCCATATATCTTGCTGCTGGTGCTATGCAACCTCTGTTGATTTCCAGACTAGATCAGATATCAGGGGAAGCTCATCACCTCAGTTCCACTGCTGGTGCCAGCAGTCTTTGGTGGAGGTGTTTTTAAATTGAGCCCATGGTTAATGGATAGAGCGTTTCCTTCCAGTGATCTGGCATGTGGGGAAGATGACATCTGTTGTTTTAGTTTAGAACAGTTTTATCTGGATCCAGTACACTTTCTTTTTGTACTGATGAGATTCTGTATGTGCCTGGTATTTATCTTGGAATGATCTCTGTCTTATTTATTTGATCTTCCTAGGCCACAATGCTCACCACACTCCCCTGAGTCCTGCTTTGGGAATTGGGTAGCTAAGTTACAGGGTAGTCTGCAGAGAAATCCAGAACCTCTGCCTTTGTACCTAAAATGAGAATTAGGAAAAACTAAGACACCTAAGTGCAAGGAAATGATCCATAAATGCTGCTTAATATTGTATAGCATGTATAACTCCCAAGTTATCTCCATATTCAGCCTATGTGGTACTCTGGAGCTGGGCACAGATACCTGTGAGGAGGTGCTGTGTTATGGGAGGTGAGGGAACCATGCACTGACTGGACTCCATCAAGATCCAGAGATTGTTTGTATCCCCAGTAAAGCCTGACCTCACTGGGGTGCTTGGAGCACAGCTCTGAATCCAGGATCAAGCAGAGCAGAGAGCCAGAAATGGCCAGTGGGAGCCCACTTGATGTGTAATTGCTGAACAGCTGCTTTAGACATGGCAAACCTATCTTGCTGGCTCTTGCAATAGAACAGGGTCTAACTCTGCCTGCCACATCCTGAACTGCAACCATTACATTCCTTGGGAGAAGAAAGCTGAAATTTCCCACCTCCTCCAGTTTAGCTTGGGACACTGAGCAGTGAAGACTGCAAAAGCCATGGGCAAGGAAAGAAGCAGGCAAGAGGGTGAGTATTTGGTGCAGTCACTCATGCAGGGATATAGAGAAATTGTAGTGCAATCCCTGTCTTTGGGGATTAATTCAATACCTTTTTTCAATCCTATGATTTTCCCATGTGGTGGTGCCATGTAACTTCTTGCAGTGGTCCTTCTGCTCTCATAGCAACACATACTGTGGTGATCCAGCTCCTTAGCACAAGCATGGTTGGTCCTGAAGAGCTAGTTTGTGTGCATGCATAGAAGAAACATTGCCTTCCCACTAATTATTCCTTTCCCAAAGGAGAGGAGAGGCTAAAATGGGTTCTCTTGTGCCAGAGAAAATGATGAATCTTTAGGGAGACTCCAGTGAGGAGTGGGCTGTGGGCTCTACAGTGTCTTATTTCCCCTCTTACCTTTGCTCATGTAGGCATGCATTTACCATGTGATGGGGACTGGTGGCAGAGAGTGTGGACTGGAAGGGACTGCTGGTGCTGCAGGAGTAAAAGGCCTGTAGTAACCTCTACTTTTTAGGAGTAAGCTTTCTCTATGACTTGTCCTGGTGGTCCATGCAGGAAAAGTCCAGAGAGGACTAAAGGCTGGGACCCCAGATGTTTGGCAGAGCTTTAGAGTTCTGTCTACTTGTCCTCCAGGATTTTATGATTCATCACCAAGGTAGAGATTCAGCAGGGTAGTTTCTAGTCTGACAACCCTACATGTTCTGGAGGAGTGGGAAGTGAGAACTGGAATCTCCTCAAGATGAAGGAGAACTGTGATTGAGTTTTACACTTCTGCTGTCAGCACTCCAGCTATTAGGCTGTTATATGTGTCAGCTTTTCCTCTTTCTCTCCTTGATCAACTGGATACATAATCTCAGGGTGCAGTGTGGTCTGACTCCCAAAAGCATTGTGATGCCTTAAGGAACAGACCTAAGTTCCAGTGGCAGCAGGAGTTAAGGTGCAACCTCACCAGGGAGCAGTTTAGAAAGGACCTCTTCATTGAGGAGATAGTTTTTAATCATTTTTTTTTCCCTTAGGAGTAATTCTCAGCTGCTTTACAATTGGAGCAGGATTTTTGGATTACCCTTCAGAAGTACCTAATTGCCCTTTCATAAGATGTCTTAGTGCCTAACTTTGGTCCTGTAAATCACCTGCTAATTTTTCAGCTTTGCACTGCCTGATTTAAGTACACAAATAGATGTCCAGAGAATTGCAGAAGATTAGATGGGGGACTGTGATAGAACATGAAACCAAGTCTCAGTTGTAGTATATGATGGAAAAATGTGGTCAGATGCTTATCTTTGTTAACAAATATAACAAATATGGTAATGTCTTCTTAGCATCCAGTGTCCATGTTGAGTCTCAAAAGTTACATGACACAATATTACTGTAATGGGATTAATAGATAAGGCAGAGCACTGGCCCTAAAATGCATTTGCAGCAGCACTGGTTTATGTCATGCTTTTTGTCACAGATTTCCTTGAGCAAGCTTCTCAAAGCCTTTGGCAGTCTGCTTACTCCTTCTGTTTTCCATCTGCAAAATGATAGTTGTATTTTGTCTGCCTCATGTAGAGAGATTGCAGGCAGTTTGAGATATGAGCTGCCTCCTTCTTCATGCCTGTTGTAATGGCCACCTAATCTTGATTGGGTCTTCAGGTTACACTGGACAGTAGCACAAGCAAACTCATTAATCCTGGCATACATAAAAGGAATTAAGGCATTTTTTGCAGTTTTGTTTCCTGTGATTTAAATTTGTTGACTCTGGCAATAGGAATTAGCAGTGTAGAATTTTCAAAGATTTATGAACATGATACAAAATGTGACTTTCAGTTAGAAATGCCCCTCAACAAAACCTTTACTGAGGAGAGATATGCTCTGTCTGGAGACTGTGAGGTAAAACCTGCACTCCAGGAAGCTGAATCCAATTCCCAGCCCTCCTGCTGGATGATGGGGTGCCTTCACACCAGCTTTGTGTGTACTGACTCTAAATCTGCTCATGAAAATGACAGGGCATCTTTTTTTCTCAGGTTATTCAGAGTTGACAATCTCTTGTGTTGTCTCATGTAGCTTGTGGCAGAGCTGGATTCTTAAACTCTTTGTCTTTCTCCTTGGCCACCTGTAAAACTGATTATAATACAGTCACCCTTTTTAAGGAACTGATGATAACCAATGTTTCTAGTGTGCTGGAACTGACTTATTTGAGTGAGACTATAAAGACATGGTAAATCATTAATTATTTATTAAACTGGACTTCTCACAGATTTTTCATAAACTTTTTAGGCTAGGATTATGACCCCAAAATTACACTAAATAGATTTCAAATAGAAGATAATATTTCAACTGGAAGTGATCTAAAATTATTATTTCTTCCAACTGCCTGATGGCATTAGAGCTGACCAAAAGTTAAAGTATGTTGTGAAGGTCATTGTCCAAATGCCTCTTAAACCCTGACAGATTTGGGGCATCAACCACTTCTAGGTGTTGTGCACCCCTACTCAGTGAAGAAATGCTGCCTAATGTCCAGTCCAAATCTCCCCTGGAGCAGCTTGGAACCATTCCCACATGTCATGGATCACAGGGAGAAAATCCCAGCATCTTTTTTTCCACTTCGATATTTCAATACTGAGAAGTTGATTTTTTAAATTATTTTTAATGTTTAAAGTGAAATTCCACATTGAAATAAATGAATACTACTCCATTTATTGCAGCTGAGCTGTACAAATTCATTCTGTTTTAGGAAGCAGGATTTTATTTAAAGTAGAACAAATGATTAATTGTTCTTTTCCTAGTGGTCTGAGGACAAATTTGTATCATCTTCTTTTCCCATATATTTTCCCATATATTTCCAGAATTACTTTATATTGTTTCTTTAGCTTTGGCAGTAGTGTAGTGTTGAGAATTATGGTTATGTCTGTGAAGTCGAAAGCTCTTTATATAACAAAAGCATACTGCATAGATATAGATGAACTGTAATTCACAGAATGTGCTTGATTTATCATGATTCAAAACAGTATTTTCCATTTAACACAACAGAAATTTAATGCAATTCCCTTGAAATAATCCTTGCCAAAAAGATCTGCCTATTTTTCTTGGATCAAAATCAACCCAACCTTAAGCGTACATAGTAATATCCAGAGATTTGTCTATACTGACATACTCTCCAAAAGACTAACATAAATTCAGAATAACTTTACAGAGTATCGTCTCTGTCTATGAGCATGACTGGACGAACATCAGAACTCACTTTGTACCAGGTGAGTTCAGGAGGATGTTATTTCTCTCATCCCACTTTCTGAAACATCTACACCACTTCAAGTGGGAGCTCTGCATGTGTAGCTGAGAGGAAAGTTGAACTAAGTAAGACATGTAATCAAAATTCTTTGTCTCCAGGAGGCTGTCTAGCTAGGTTTGGAAAAGGATAGTGAACACTGCAATTAGAGCTATCATTAATAAAAATTGTGTTGTAACAGACATTATAATTGAACCTTGATATAAAGCTAGCTAAATCTTGCTTACCTAGAAGGAATTTAATTCTTCAGTCAAGCATGTTCCCAAGATACAATATACCAGAGAAGTATGATGTCTGTCCCTCTTTTGGAGACTGCCAATGTTTTGTATTTTTTTTTATTTAATACCCTGGTTTGAAAGTATGAAAGCCTTTTTCTTCTGTGGAGATCTTGGTGACAGCTAAGCACTTAGAAACATCTTTTTTCATTGGTGAATCATAACTGCTAAAAGTAGTTTTAGTCCTCCTTGAGGAACATGGTCTTTTGCTGACCCTTAGAAACAATTTACAAGTCTTAAACTCTCTCAATAAGGGGATAAAAATTCTCATCTTTGCTTATTTAATATAGATTAGTTATCCCTGAAAGTATTTTTGCAGTGACTTTTGCCTGATAGTCATGACAGTGATCAGAGTCCAGAAGTAAAAGTCTGAGCAGAAGAGATTTCTCCAACACATTTTGCTGCCAGCTTAGTGACTGATGTCAGCTATATTACTTGCTCTTCCATTTTGTAAATTTGATAGAAAAAGGGGCTGTGCCTCTCAAAATTGTTATGCAATTAATGTTTGCAAGTACAGTGAGACTCACTGTAAGAAGCTATTGATGTGAAAAAGTGATTTGATTGATAAAAAGGTTCAGAGATTTGTAAGAGAAAAAGTAGCCACTTCAGCAGCAGAGTGAGTGAGTTTAAATTGAACGCACCAGATTGTTGCCTGATGGAAAAGGATCAGTGTAATAAACTGTAGCCTCAGGTTTCCCAGTTGTTCCTCCTTTGCTCTGTTGCTGTGTATGGTGCCCATTGGTTTCACTGAAATCACTTGTGGTGTTAGATGTTATTTAATGTGGGTAAGTAAATCAAAAAAGGACCTTGAACTATTTTAACAGTGTTCTTATTGACAACCTCAGCTCTGAAGCCTTGGTTTGACTAGGAATTGGAAGTCTCTCCCCTTAAGGGTGCTCCCCATGGCACTGAGGTGTTATTTGGACTGCTGCTGATATGCTTTGAGCAAAGAAAGGAAAGGCTTCAGGATTGCCCATGAACACTGTCTTATATTCATTTGGGAAGAAGACAGCATGAATTTCATTCTTGCAGAGTAAAGAAGATTATAAATAGATTTCTTCAAGATAGCATACACGGGCACTTTCTTCCGTGACAGAGACTTCTCTGTCAGCATGAGTCATGCTGAGTGATTTGGTGGCTGCTAGCTTCAATTTGAAGCACATGCTAACCTTTACAGGATTTCCTTTCATGATGGGATTGTAGCATCATGCTCTCTTCCTATTGTGTACAGAAATGAAACTGCTAGCGAATAATTAAACCTTCTACCTCACAAAAGCCTTGAGGAAGTGGATTTTGAGATATTAAAAAAAAACAACCTCACAAAGCAGATTATCTAAAGTTCCAGAGAGCTAATAGCCTCTGTTCATCAAGTTTTTAAAAGCTCAGAGCTGATCCAAAAAAGTGCCATCTTTCAGAAAATTAGATTGCTGTTTCAAACAAGGTGTGTTTGCTGGATCCTCTTTGCACTTATTTTCAGTGATCCCTGTGTGCCCTGCTTACAGCTCATACCTGTATTTGAGGACTTAAACCTGAAAGATTTGCATCAATTCTTGATCATTAGAATTCCAGGTCCTTGCAAGAATGACATCATTTTCTAGTAATTTATGCAGCTAAAAATCAAAGAATTGTCAAAAAAACTGTGCAATGAACAATATTTGTTAGCGTAAAATGTACGAATGATCCTACATCAGCCAAAGAGAAGCTCTTATCAGCTGGCATCAGTGATAGGCTTGTCTTCCTTTATTGGCAAAATAGAACTGACATCACTGTATTTACCTAATCAAGAAGTCTAAACTGATAGCTTTGTTACCTTAGGTTACCTAAATAGTTAGACTGTGGATATGCCTCTCTTCCTATTGATTAGATAAAGACCTTAATATGGTTCTGAGGTCAGGCAGCTCAGCTAGGCAGGGAGTGTGGAAGGGGGAATATTTTCTAAATTTGACAACATGTGGCATCATCCCTCCGCAGTGGCTACACGGCAGGGATACGTGTAATACATCTCAGGTGTATTCCCTGAGCAGATGCTGTGCAGTTGGAGATCTCTGCAGGCTTGTGATCTCCAGCACTCAGTGTGTTGGTCCAAGTGGTGCAGGGGTGTGTGTGGGAGATCCCTGGGAAGGGCATTGCCAAGGAGCTCACATGGTCCCTGTTTTTGGCGCTGGGAAGCAGCTGAGCAGGCAGCCTCAGAGGACGCGCTCTGCCCCGGGAAGCAGCAGTTCGGTGTTGGCAGGAGTTCTGCTGAGTCTTGCTGAACCAGGGCCAGGGGGTGGGGGGGCTTTATATTGAAAGCAACATCTCTCAATTGAGGCATATTATTTAGCTTTACTTACTCAAGGGCATTGTAAATCTTTCTTAATTTTTTTTTTTCCCCCACAAGACTGCTGGCTGCAGAAGTTTGTACTCCCTTGCACATCACTCAGTGTGAGAGATCTTGAATGTTGTAGCCGTGCTGTCATCAGGCAGAGCCAGAGGATCTTTGTAGCCAAGGCAGCAGATCCCTGTACTTTGGCAGTGTAGTCCTTTCTCTCTGATCCGACACCCTGGGACTTCTAAAACTCAGTGTTACAGCTGGTTGTGAGTAACATACGATTTGTAGATCTCCCTGTGTCTCTTCTTAGGATACCCCAAGCGATCTTTTCCATTCAATCCTGCATAGTTATTTGGTTCTTAGTTGTCTCTTCCTGCTCTTAATCACTTCCCTTTGCACATTTAATGATGTGACAAGCTTGATTTAGCAAGATTGTCTTCTCTTACTTTGCTCTCAGTTAGAAATGGAAGACTTGTTTTTTGAAGGCGGTTTCCTGCTGGACAATGGAAAGGACCTAACACCTGATTAGTTCATTTTCCAATTGGTGATTTCTATGAAAAAAGACTTTCCCAGATGCATTAGCTTTATCTAGTTTTTAATGACCAAAGTGAAAACATATTTTCCTACTTCCTAACCTGTTGAAGTTGCTGCTGTTGCAGCTTTGAAAGTAGCAGCTTTGTGTTGAAATTTTTTACAGTGTTAGGGAAAAAAAAAAAACCCCAAGCACAAACCAGACATGTAGTTGTTCAGAAATTACACTATCTAGGGATTGCAGTTTTATGGGAACTTAAATATTTTTGCTCTCTTCTGTGGATAAGTTTCTGGTTTTGCTCCAAGCAGGGATTTTCAAGAAGACAGGAGGACTTCATATTTTGGAAGTGCAATGTAGCCATATCTAGAATACATAAAAGAAAATAGAAGGTGAGTCACACAGTGGACCAGTTCCTGAGGCATTGTCATCAAGCGTTGCCATTTTCAGACTGGAATGTACAATTTTCAGCCTGAAGCACTGAAATAAATTACTTTATTTGTAAAAGCTGTAATTTTGGTGAAGAAGCCTTTCCCACAGATTTTGTTTTGAAGATTGAGGATCTGAGTCTGAAATTCATAGGCGGCTGCCAACATCTATATTATATATATATATATACACGATCAGAGCATGGTTGGTTTCTGGGCTGAAAATGCACATTAATGGGTCATGTCCAGCTGTCCATGCACAGTGCCTCCAAATCTTTCCCTGTAGGGCTGCACAGGCCATTCACAGGGATGAACACTTTCCTGCAGTGTCATGCTGGAACACCTGACCTTGGCTTGTGCTCGAGGTCACTCTCTGGCAGTGTCTCTCCACTGATGAGGGCAGGAGCTGCCTCTGTCACTCTGCCTGGGTGACTAGCTCCCCACACCCTTGCAGCTCACAGTAGCCAGCTGGCAACAGCTCTGGAAAACTAAGGCTATGTCTGTCCCACTCTCTCAGGGGAGTTTTTGGAGAACACAGACAGCCCCACTGGTAGCTTTCAGTTTATTCTGTCATTTGAATTTCTTCTGCCATGATTTGCCCCTCATCTTCAGTCAAATAAATAGCAGGGACAGGTTCAGGTGCTTGCTTAGGTCAGTGGGCAGTGCTTCTGCACAGCACAGCTGAGGGCTATCATCTGACTGTACCTGTTTTGTCACATCCTACTTTTTCCTGCCTGGAACTCGAGTCCTGACCTTTTAAGGCTAACACTGAGGACTTCCAGGGCCTGTAATTATAAGAGGGGATGGTGAAAAGTCTTTGGAACAGGGTGGAAATGCCTTATTACAAAATGATCCTTACCTGTGCCATTAAGACTTGTTCTTTGTGAAACCATTTATAAAGCTCATCTCATTTTCAATATTCTTTGCAATCTCTGGCTGAGGGTGTGGGAGTATTAAATGCATATGAATCAAACGCAAATTCAGAGTTGATACAGTCATAAAGAACTGCCATCATTAGTCCCCTGTGGACAACTTAGAAAGCTGAATCTGATCAAAGAGCTACTCACTTCATTCATAAATTGCTTTGGAAGAGGAAAGGCTTTTTTTTTGTTTACTCCTCTTTAAAAGACAGGGACATTCAGAAGGGAAATGCGGTGTCCAGGGCACAAAGTGAGCCTCTAGAAAAGTTGAGGCTAAAAATTCATGGGGTTTTAAATTCCTAATCTATTATATTGACCTATCTACTTACATATTGCATTACCCACCTATATATTTTATATATAGGCTATTCCAACTCTATAGAAGAGCTGTTTATTTTTTTTCCAGACATCAAAAAAGTGCTTACCTTTTGAGAACAAGCTATTTAAATTAAGATAAATGATGGAAAATCACGATGTACTTTAGTTTTTATTAGGTTTTCTGTCTTTCTCTAACCAATCTTGATTTGATTGGTTACATAAGCATTGTAAACAATAAGGGCACAGTCCTTCCCTGCTGTAAAGAATAGGGGACTTGATTGTAATGATTCACCGTATTTCAATAAAGTAACTAAAGCTTGCAGTACATTGATTTCTGAAAACTGCAGAACCATTTCTGAAGTGCTTTCCTAGGACTTGCTATCATAGCACATTCAAAGCCCCTCTTCTTCAAAGGTTTCTAAAGCATTTGGGAAAACAATAGGAAACAAGGTAGGCTGGACCTGAGAGAGTGTGGAGCTATAAACATGAGGGCCAGAGGGGATGGAGAGCTGAGAAATGATTTGCCTTACAGCAAAAGAGCAATAAAATCTTGGGCTGGGATTTTTCCCTGCAGGAGTGTGAAAAGAAACATTGACTGTTTGCAAAGCACCTCCATACTGTAATGGAGTTACACAACCTGTAATCTTTCTATTATTCAGTCTGTCACTGTAGGACTGGCCCATTTGGAGGCTACAAAGCATTTAGATGCTGACAGCAGTAGGAGGTTGTAAGGGACGTGGTTGGCCATTGTGTTTATAGAGGGCAGTGAGATAAGAATAGCTCTGTCTTCAGTGCCTGCCACATTCACTTGAGGTTTTGGACACTTCTGTATGTCTTGTGGACAAGTAGCTGTGTTGAAAATGCAGGGGGCACTAGGGCAATACTTATCTTAGCTCTTCTTTTTCCCTTGAGAACCTGGTGTACAATACAGGCCAAGAGGGTGTCAACTGATAAAAGTCAGACAAATGCAAAGTGTTCTCTGGGTTTGACATCAAGGAGCCTGCCATCCGAGAGAAGACGGACGCTGTGTGGCACCCTGTGAATAAATTAATGTCCCCAACGTGCCCTTCCACTGCACCCTCCTGTTGGTCTCTTACTGTGCATACAAAATATTTCCTTCTTGAAACTTGGCACTAAAGAACATTTTTGGTGCACAGTTATTTAGTGGTGGGTGGACAATAATTCCAGAGCTGAAATTGTGGTGCACAATGAGAACATTTTACTTTGAATGGGCAGACAAGGGTCTATACATGGGGAAGGAATGGTTGTTATAAATGTATTTGCTAATATAGTGTGCATGACTTTGTTTAAAGGAAGTACTGTTGCCCTTCTGCTGAGCATTTGCAAATTTCAAACGTTTATAATTAGCTTCTTATCAGAAAATGAATCACTGTCACTAGCCAAGGTAACTTTTGAGCATGACCTGTGTAAACCTGTCACTTAGCAGGATTCATCAGAACTACATTAGATCCTGATGAAGATATCAACTTGAATGTCACAGGCACTACTGGGGTGAAGGATTTGAAGAACCCATCTGACACTGAAGTAGTGACAGTGCTGTACAGGATGATGGGACTGGTTTTTCCCCTGCAAAAGATTCATGGCTCTTGGATTTAAAAGTCAAAAAAATGGTTTTGCTGAACCTTCCTTTTACTGCTCCTTGTGAAGCAGCATTTGCTAATTTAGAAATGCTTCTTTGGGCCAAGCTGAGTGATGACAGGCTTCTCATATGAGGAAGGTACTTATAACTTTTTTATGGGGAGAGGCCACAACCCATGGATGCTTTTCTCCCTGCTGTTTGCCAGACAGCTGGGGAAACAACTTAGAAAAAAAAACCCAGCATACCATATATTTTTTAAACTGTGATGCATATTTTATACAACAGATTATGGTATTAGCTTAAATATGGGATCAACACTTACACATTTAAAATGGATTAGGGTGGATTTTTACAATTTGTTTTCCTGTTTTTAGGTGTATTCAAGGAAGATATCTCTAATACAGGTGTATGTGTGCCATAATAAAAATACAGTATAAGTATAAAGACTTTAGATTATAATGTAAAAAAGTTCAGGTCAAAGTGAGTATGGGTTTTTAGTATTCAAAACATTTTAAAATAAATTCTGACTCTTGTTTTGTGTCAGTATTACAGTTCTGAAATATTTTATGTTGTGTTGTACCTTGTTCAGGTTGTCTTTCTCATCTGTGTTTTTGGTGAGTAATACTAACAAAATTCTGATTTAGGATGTCATAGAAATGGAATAGACTATTTCAATTGGAAGGGACCTGCAACTATCACCTGGCCCAACTGCCTGATCCCTTCTGAGCTGACCAAAAATTATGGCGTAATATTAAAGACATCATCCCAATGTCTTTTAAACACTGACAGGCAATTTTGGGGTCATCAACAGAAAATCTTGTCAAGCTGGCCCTCAAGGAGTAGGTATGTGGATTGCTGGATAATGTTTACAGAGAATCGTGAGGTTTTCCATCATGGTCTGCAAGGAATTCATGACACCCTGACTATGAAACTTAAAAAGATACAAAAAATTAATGCCAGTGCATGTAAAATTGACTTACTGAATAGAGGACTTTCCAGTAGACTGTAAGGTGGACTGGTGTCAGGCCCACTGTGATATTTTTATCAGTAGACAAAGATATCAAGGTGATAAAAATTAACAAATACATCCTGAATAAATATTCTTATCCCATAGGTCATTGATATACACAGTAAGAGGGATCACTATGTAATATTGTCACAAGTAATTAATGTGTTTCAGTTGCTATAAAACTCTTTACAAACTTGAAGGTGGAAGAGCAGAGAGTGACTCCTGTGCTTACAGATAGGAGCACTTTGTCACGTGAAGCAGTGGCTTTGAAACAGACTTGGGGAGTGGTGGTTGGTTATCAACTGAGCATATGCTCCGAGCTATTCTTTTGCCACAAAGCTGACTGCAATCCCTGAATATATGAACAGGAGCCCTGAGGAGAAGAGAGGAGGGCCAGAGGTCTCACACAGATATTTCAAAAACAGTGTGCTCAGTTCTGTAGTCTACAATGCTGGAAAGAGGCATGAGGATGGTAGAAGTGCTGGAAGACCTTTCTGAATATCAAATGCCAAATTTATTCAGCAGGGGTTAAGGTATGGTTTGCTACTTACATGGGGAATAAACAATTGATAAGATAATTGAATTGATTTCTTAGTTCACCAAGAGACATAAAGGTATCTTGTCTGGAAAGTGAAATTTTGCAAATTCACCTTAAAATAAGGTGATATTGATTTATAAATAAACTGATTTATACTGATTTATAGAGATACTGACTTATAAATAAGCAACAATCAACAACTGCAATCTCTTCATCTCCCTGAGAAATGTTTAAATCAGCTCTAATTCAACCAAGAATTACTTAGTGAAAATCCTGCAGCCTCCATGAAAGTAGGAAGTCAGAAGAAGAAATTGCAAGGATCACTTCTGGCATATAGGTGCATTAATTAGTAGTTTTGTCATGTATTTTGGAAGCTTTGGTTGCATTCTTGCTCAATAGTCTTTTCCTTGTGTAGCTTGGTCCCAGAGGCTTCACATCCTTCCTAGATTTATGGTTCTTAGGACTGGGCTGTTAATTTGTCCAACTTCTCCCATAACAATGTTTGAACTTGAACTCATTTGCTTCCTTAGGTTTGATCATGCCAGTTACTTTTCCTCTTTTGCATTTCATTTTTTGTGTTTCCAGATATTTGATACCTTTTCCTGTATAGTTATGAATGACAACTACAAAATGGTGTCAATCAAAACGTTACCTGATTTTCCAGCTTCTGGGTCATGGTCAGGTAAATCACAGAATGGGACAGGCTAAAAGGGACTGCAGTGGGTCATCTGATTCCAACTTCCCTGCTCAAGCAGGGGCATCCCAGAGCACATGGCACAGGATTGCATTCAGACATTTCTGGAATATCTCCAGTGACGGAGACTCCACAGGCTCTCTGGACAGTGTGTTCCAGTGCTCAGTGACGGCACAGGAAAGAAGTTCTTCCTCACATGCAGATGGAACTTTCTGTGCATCAGATTCTGCCTGTTGCCTCTTGTCCTCATGCTTGGCACCACCAAAACGTGCCCTCCCATGGGTGGAATTCACTGACACCAGAGGACAGTTAGCATTTTGCAAAAGATACTGCCTACTGTGAAGAATGGGCTGGTACAGCTCTGGAACCATTTACATCCACTTGCATTCTGATCACCAGCTTGCACTGGATATCCTTAGAACTGGTCACTTCTCAGAAAAGTAACTGAAATTTATTAAAGGGATATTAAAAAAATGCTTGGTCAATTATAGAATGCAAGTTAGTGTTTCAGAGTAATTTTCCGTGTTTAGCCAGAGGACTTAATTATGGTTTTAGACCACTTTGGTTGATACAATTTCTATTAGACAGTGCTTATTTATATGAAAACCAAAATAGCTTCATTGAAACAGATGGGTGTTTGACTTCAAGGTATGTCTTTGATGTGGGGATTACTGGGCAGAAACCTGGGATTGGAGCTGGGACCAGACAGCTGTAATGGCTCTTTCTATAAAAAACAGTAAGTACTAGACATGCCCAGTGGAAGACAGCAACACCTACAAGAAGGGAGTCTTTCCAAGGGAATCTGCAACACACAGAAACATCTGCAGCTCAGGAAGATTGACAAGCCATCATGCTGCTCAGGCTAACAAATACTGCATAAATCCCATTGCAATCATCACGTCTCATTTAATTGACATCCTACTACTTTGGTCTTCTTGAAAAACTTTATTTGATTGACTCCTGGAAAACACTGCCTTATCAATGTAGTACAGGCAAAGCAAGTTTCTGCAGCAGCTGTTCTCCTCAGGAGTGGACATTGGCCATTTGAAGCCCTGGCCCACTGTCAGCTCTGCCCTGTTTTGCAGCAGGGCTTTTTGACTCTTATCCTGCTATGTGTTCCTGTCCACAGGGCACGTGGTTATGAGGTTCTCTGTGTCACAAACACACACATCAGAACTGTATTGTGTTGGCAAACACTGTTCACAGTTTGGACTTTTAGCATACCTCAAGGACATCTGTGTATGGGAAAAATAAAAACAGCCACACTAGCAAGAACATGGAAATATCCCCTACAGATTGATTGTAAAAGAAAATGATCCTGCCTAAAAATACCCTGTGTATATCACAGAGAAGTTTGCCTTGATTTTTAAGTCCTGCTGACACTGGAGGTGGTTTGGGGACAAATTCTGGGGTCACTGGATGATCTGTAGTGGTCTGACTACATAGAGAGGACTGGTACATGGCTGGGGCTGTGTGGACACAGCAGCATCCTGGGACTGCCTGCACATTCCTGGGCACTGCAGGTGGCAGTGGTGCAGTCTGTGCATGGTGATACTGAGCACTTTGATCCTTCCCCAGTGCAGGCCTGCATCATAGACATTACAAGAAATAACATGGATGGCCTCTTGTTACTGGTAAAATACAGCCTCATTCCATGGATAGTTTGAGTGTAAGACTTTTCAGTTGATTTTGTAACAGCGTTATTCAGTTTAAGTATAAAATGCTACCTACTTTGTGTATTTTCTAGACCTAGTGATCAAACCAAATACACAAAAAAAACCTTTGTGAAAGATGTCACAATTCTCATCTGTCAATGTCACAAAGCAAAACCTCTCAAATGCAAATTCACCTGTAGCCCTGATTTTGCTGATTTTTCTCTAAGTATCTGTTCATCATTATTTTCAATAGAACACAACTTTTCTTGTGTTGGAGTAACCCTCAGAGATTTTCATCATGCTACTCACAACTGACATAATGAGGTTAATTTTATTGAATTTGGTTCCCTGTACCCCAGTGTTCATGATTCATCATTTCTTTTGTGAGTGAACACTGAGATAACGAGATAGCAGGTTGACAAGGGCAGAAATACATTCAGGTTTGAAAGGATGGATGTGCCTTGTGAGCAAGTTCAGTCAAGTAGGATGTCAGTCTGTTCCATGGGGATTGCCAGGTCAAAGCTGACTCAGAATTGGTATTTATGAATACTCCATCAAAATACAAGCATGAATAAACATCTCATTAACACACACATCAACTGATATATTTCACTACCCAGTATCTACACACCAAAGCTGAGAAGAACAATATGAAATTTCAGTATCAAAATTACAGCTTTCTGCTGTGCTGCAATGCAAGTTCTTCATACTGGATAATAAATGTACATGTTTTTTACTGTGTGGACTTTATGAACTTTGCAATGTTCTGACTTGTCCATTTTCTCAATTTTAGGAATTTTTTTTAAGCATTTTTTTTTTTAGCATTAAATGTCTGAGATGTTTTTGAACAGCTTAGGAAGTTAAACTTTTATAAGAGATATGTAGGCTTTGAACTGATGGTAATTACTGTAACTTTGTGATAGTTACACTTCATGTCTGCGGAAAATGTAAGAAAATACTTAGACTTGAACAGTTTTTAAAATAATTTTGTTGAAATCAAAGGAGTTTGATTCCCAGGTGCATTCAAAATGCCCACATTATGATAACTACTACTACATATGACTACTGCATATTTAGACACCTAATTATCTTCAAATATCTTCCCTTTGTATTTTATTTACGTACAAAAAACTGCTTGGCAGTGTTAAGTTAATGGTTGGACTTGATGATCTTAGAAGTCTTTTCTATCTTGAATGATTCTATGATTATAAAAACTGCCTCTTGTCACTAGTGTTGTGTTTCTGACATGGGTGTGTTGATGTGAGCATTGCAGAGGTGTTTGGATAAATTTGTATTTTCAACTAACATTTTTATATAATAGAAAGTGTGTATGAGACCAGATATTACATTCTGCCATCCTGGTTGGTGTGACATTTTTAATCTGGTTATTACCTACTGCATTTTGTGTACATATTCAGTTTAAAGGAGATTGTGTGAGTGACTCTGCAGCAGACACTGTGTGTTTCTCAGCTTTTGCTGGACTTCTTGATGTTATGAATCATGGAGACAGGTCTGGTCACATTAAATGAATATTGGTCCCATTTGGCTTGCAATTTTAAGTACTTACTAGTTTATTTAATAAAGATGTTGAAAAGATGTTGACTGCCTTCTGATACATGTGTGTGATACTCCCAGGTGTAGGAGATGTGGCGTGTTCAGCCTCTGGCTCGAGAGGCTCTCCTGGGTTGGAGACAAGCACGTTCTCATTCTCCAGCACCCCAGGCTGTGTCTACATTACATCTGACAAGGGCTGTGAGCAGGAAGGTGTGAGAGCCATGGCTCCTGATCACAGGCTTGCCCCGAGGCACGCTGCTGACTGTCCCTGCCATGTGCCCGGGGCCTGGCAGCGGATTGAACTACCAGACAGGCTTAGACAGGGTCCCTTGGGCTGTGCCCGGAGTTGCACTTGAGTTTCACTGTCTGAATACAGAGTGAGTCTGATCCAGAGGGCAGCCTTTGGATGACCCCGGCATGCAATGGAAATACCCAAAGTCTTAGAGCATAGATAGCTCTCTAAGCTGCAAAGTTAGGTTGAAGATATGTGGCTGCAAAGGAGAGAGAGAGAGCAATTTCAGCTGAGGAAACATCCATGACCTTGACATGCCCCAGCCATGATTTTGTAGCTCTCCACTGGTGCTAATCCATGTTGGCTCAGACCCCAGCTGGGATCAGACAGGTCAGCGCCTGCTTAGAGATTTCTGACTGGAGAACAGAAGCAGAGCTCAAAACAGAAGGAAAAAAATGAAAGGTTTTAGGATTAGACTGAGAGTGATTACATTTGTCTTGGCAGTAGCAATACCACACACACACGCAGCGCTGGGGAGCTGCTTCCTGGCGGCACCACGCAAAGTGCTCATGGAGCAGCATCCAGGCTGTGCAGCAGAGCATTCACTCAGCTTGCAAGTCTCAGCATGGAGCCAATCCCAAAGCTTGCTACTGGCCTCGTGGGGCAGTGTATCTCGTCTTCTATTTAATCTTACTTTGGGCAGACTGAGAACCTGATGACAAGAATGTCCCATGCATGATTTAGCGCCTGCAGACCGTGGAGACATGCCTATGTTAATTTCTGGCATGTACAGGCCAGAGGGAGAAAAAGCAAGGAATTTGATGGGCATGGTAGGGTAGCTGCAAGGAACAACCTCCTGCTACTCTGCAATGCAATGTGAGAGTCACAGCAGGTAAAAAGTTTTTTATCTATGAGGACACAGGGTAGTGTTTGCTTTATGGGTCTCCTTAGGGCTACATAGGAAGAATGTTCATCTGCTTCTTGAAAGCTGCATGTTGCTGCATTTTGTGACATTTGTGGAGTTCCATTATTGATTTTATTTTCTTAGGAGAAAAGATAAATAGAAAATTACTTATTTTTACACCTGGGCATGCCTTAGACATCAGGACATTAAGGCATTAAAGCTCAAAGTGACCGAGAAGCAGAAGATAGTTCACTATTTAACATTCAGCTGGAGAGCTATGTTTACTCCTGTATTACATAACTGCTTTTTCAGACAATTTCTGTATTTTTCCATGCATCTCTGAAAGTACTTCCAGTTATTCCAGTAAACATGGGTGTGTAGGAGGAAGGGGACTAACTGCTTTTGAAATGGTTGAAAATAATGCAGTTATAGCCCTGTAATCAGATGCTTCAGGATATGGCTGTTTATTTCACAGTTCTGTTTTCTAAAGATCTGTCCTGCAGTGATCAGCCAGTGGCAGTTCTTAGGCTTCAGACAGAAATATTCAGGAAGGGAAATTTGGGGAGATCTACAGATTGAATTTATTCACAGTGATAAAATGCTGTCCAGGGTGAGTGACGCATTTAGCTCTGGAAAAATAAGGAATGAGCTGGCCAGTTATCACAACCAAACAACCATTTTAATGGTTATTTGGTTACTTTCAATGCAGATGATTTTGGACAAAGTTTTGCTCTCAAATGTCCTCCCCACTACTAGAGAGTTGGGGTTTTTTAATAGCATTGTCATTGTTTCCTGGAATAGAGAAAGGAGAATTTGATTATATTTGTATTGTAGTATCAGTCAAGAGCTCCATTGTGCTTAACTGTGCAAAAAATGGATTAAGAGAAACTCATTCTCAGACAGCTGAGGAAGATGCACAACAAAGAGGAGGAAGGGACACAGATACACACATGTAGTACTATGATATTTACTTTATGTTTTCAACAGTAAATAAAGTGAGCGGTATCTCTCAGCCAAATTATCCATTTGATAACTCATTTTCCTCTAATGTTATGACACATTTACGTATTGAGGAGAGATGCTTATCGAGTGAGGTGGCCTCAGAGAGATGCATAAAGAGAGCATTCAGGGCATAGAGAACGAGAGTCAACACCTCCACCGGGTCTCCAGGACCATTTTGTTTGTTTTGAGCGTGTTTTAGTGCCCGGGCAGCCTTGCCTGGGCTCACTTCAGAGCGAGGTGAATATTCTGTAGAATGGAAAGTGTGACTGCTGCTGTTGATACCCCAGGGAGAGGGAGCTGGGCATGGCACAGGATGTGTGCACACACATCTTGCGTTGAGCCAGCCCGTCCTGTCCCGTCTGTGGCCTGCACTCACCTCGGGCCGGAGCCGCCACCACGGCCTAAGTGCTATAATAAGCACTTCAGGCAGAGTCTGGCTCCCCCATTTAGTCTCCCTCCACTTTTGGTCTGTAAATATTTGTCCTGTCCACATCTATTGTTGGCACAGAGACATCAGTAGAAAGTTCTCTTAAGCCTTTGCTTGCATATTTGGATTCGGGCCAGTGGAAGTTAAACCTGATCATCTTAGCCTCTCACTACCCCTGCTCCTTTTTTTTTCAGTAGTAAATGATGACTCCTCGAGATGGACCAGATTTTCCTGGGGGCAGGTTGGCATTCCCCCAAGGCATACATATTTAATGGCATGTGCAAGTGCAAGTAAACAGCAGGATAGAGGGGTTTTGTTCCTTTTGTACCCACTATCTAATTTGTTCCTCCATATTTTTCCCACCCACAGGGGGAAGGATGGCTGTCTCTCCATACAAGCCAAAGTTTGATTTATTTACTCATTGCCTTCCTTCCCCAAGCTGCCTGTAGCAGTCACATTGAATCTCCAAAAATGAAGGTGTTAATACAAGTATCACTTACTGCCCCTCCTGTAGGATCCATGCCACTGTTACCCAAAATGAGGAATGATATTTGGATGAGTCAGGGAGTCTGCCCTGACTCAGACTAACCAATGTAGGAGTGTCTCGGGGTCATGCGTATTTCTATTAATAGGGTCAAACTTGAGTAGGGAGCTCTGGTTTGATTTACCTATATTTAGCCATCACACCAAGGCAGCAAACCCAGCCAAAATAAACCTGACTCAATTTTCTTTGAATTTGTGATAAAACAAAGTAAAATCCAGCAATTATATTAAAGTAATGAAACGTGTTCACTTTATTCTGTGCTCAGCCAACACACTAATTTTTTATGTTCTGCTGATGCAGTAAAAAGTGTTGGAACCAAACTATTTTTGTGTCTCATACACATATATTTTTTTCTTCACACAAATTAAACCACAAAGATCTGTTTTGTGTTCTGGTCCTTTTAAAGTGTATGTGCAAGGACAC